TGAAAGAGTCATAAACAGCTTGAAGATTGAGTTAGGTTAGTCATCCCGATATAATGGATTTACTTTCGGGTTACGAGCGCAAAGGAAACAAGATCGTTAAACGATCAAACACTCCGACTGCAATACGTTCCACGGTGAATCCTTTCCTCTTACGATGTTCCCTCCTCCTCTCTATCCGACGCGAGGAAAAAAAAGAAAAAAAAAAACAAAACCGAAAATACACAGTCGAACTTGAGTTAAAGTTCCATGAAGCCGTTGAACCCTCTTAAATATCTTACGAACAAAGCCAAAGCCAGACGAACTTTATAAAGAATATAATCTTAAAGAGCCTCGTTACTGCCTTCCTTATTTAAAAAGTCCTACTTACCATTTTGAAAAGTCCGAGTAAATCTAAAGTTTTATCACTTTCTTTACGCGTTATCCTTCTTAGGATAAATAAATTAGACTCCTTTAAAGTTTGCACGTGCTTTCTAATTTTACTTGAAAAGGTGAAAGAAATGCAGAAATATAGCGACACATCTTGGGAAAAATGTTTGATAGAGAATATTTCAACTAAGAGGAGCGGTATGCCTAGCAAAGGAAACGAGTTGGCCAGGATACATATTCGAGGCATTCGACGCTAATAGTATACCATATACCTCTCAAGGACCGTCTCCTCGTCTCGATTCGAAGGTCTCTGTCCCCAGTCACCGTGTTTCGATCTCAATAACGAGCGATCGACGTCGTGAATCGAACGGAAGGAACTGTCGATCGGTAGGCGATCAAGCAATGCGGAAATTTAGGAGGAACACCGGTGGCCAGGGACGTGGTACACATTATATATGTTTTCTACGAGAGTGATAGACGTACAGGACCGGTTAGCTTTTCAGTCACGGACCTTCCAAGGCGGCGCGTGACCCTCAAACCTTATCCCACCAGATCTGCCCGTGTCCTCACCTGTTGTCCGCCATAATCGCTGTACGAATATACCCGACGGTGAAATATACTACCTACCGAGTGTCACGAATTATTACACGACCGTTTTATCACTGCGTGTATAATTGTCGCGAACTCTTCCCTGTCCTTTTCGTTTCAACTTCTTTTTAACATATTTAACATATTTTTTTAACATTCGCGACACATTTCAACATATTATCCTTAACCTCGTGGCGATCTTTTTAACTTTCGACCAAAGTGGGAAAGCCTAGAAACAATTGTGTTGGTCGATAAAAACAATTTTTTCGAAATTAAAGAAATTATTTATCCGTTTGGCGATTATTCGTCGAATCGGAGAATCCAAATGCTTCAAGTATGCACTCTGGAATGAATGCAATTATAATTTTAGCAGTAGCATTGTTGTCACGAGTCTGAATAAAAAATTAAATGGAAATAATTATTGAATTATTCTACATGTATAATTTCCATCGATGTTTTTC